TTCAGATTTTAAATGTCTTTATTCCAGCCGTTAAAAAAGATTCGAAAAGACTTGATTTGGTTACTGTGAACATGGAAGATTCAGCCATTTAAAAGATTTGATTCTTCACCACCTAACCGCACAAAAAGAGTTGATTCCATTAGTACCAGAGAGCGTAAGGGATTCAATATTTTTTATTTAATTCTTCTCCAGAGCATGGTCACTAGACTGAATGTGGGGAAGACAGGAATAAATGGGGACATCATGTTGTCTAGATGGAGAGAGGACACAAATGGAAAGTTTAAGGGCACACTTAATATTTTAAACTTGAAATGCTCTCAAGACTTTTAAACCTGAACTTCATTATAAAACATTTTCTGCTTATAAACATTTATAGAGAGGCGTGTCTGCTCTTTCATATGTACACACAGGGTCACTGATGAAACTTCACTGGGCCCGGGGCCAAAACAAGCATTTCTTAGGGGCCATCCACCATATCTCTGCTCATAGGGACTGATAAACAGACGTACCTAACATTAGAGGACATTAGTGGTCCCCTTTAAACAAACACACTGAACGGCAGTCGAGCAACTCAGTGGACGGAGCTGTTAATAGTTACTTTTTAACTGTGCAATGTGTGAAATGTGGCTTGCAGACCTCTATGCCAAGCGTTTTTATTACAGTAGATGCCTGATGTTTTTACTGAACACAAGACGCCAAAACCGTATTCATGCGTACTGTAAACAAACACACATGTGCGACTGAAACGTGAAAAGTGAAAAACTGTGATCTTTGGAAATGCTGATGGATTTCCACCACCATTGTCAGACCTGCTTTTCTTCATTCTGGAGAATATGAATGGTGCTCAATTATTTTGAGCACGTGCCCTAATAGACCGCGCAAGTTACAAAAAAATCCATCTGTAAGCCCAGCATTTGAGGACAAAGACGTCTAGTGGACTGTGTCTAATCGTTTTAAACACAACACGCTTGTGTCCTGCTGAGATCCCGGCCGTTTCTTCTCTCTGCTTTCTATATATCTCTTGTATTGCCTGTGTTTCCCGCCCACACTCTGATATCTCTCTTTCTGTATTTACTGTGCGTGTGTGTGTGTGAGAGAGAGAGAATGTGTGTGTGTGTGTGTGTGTGTTTGTGTGTGTGAGAGAGGGAGAGTGTGTGTGTGTGTGTGTGTGTGTGAGTGAGTGTGAGTGTGAGTGTGTGAGAGAGAGTGAGAGAGTGTGTGTGTGTGTGTGTGTGTGTGTGTTAGTGTG